TTCGCGAGTAACGAATCTTCTGGCTTCATCTTGTATCACCACACTTTTGGAAATTCTCCGTGGCGCGTTTTGGCATACACCTACGGCTTTGCTTTACGGCCATCGATTGGTATGCTGGAATTTCCTGGAAGCAACTGTAACGTATGCCTAGTCACACGTAGCAGGCTACCCACGCAAGTCCGAGTCATTGTTAGAAAACTCTGGGGAACTGAAGAAATGTTAGGCTATGTCTGAATTAGAGAACTGTTCTCTTTGTATCTATGTATGTCCCTGATAAACGAGGTGTTGGGTTTCGCACTGTAGTCGATGTAAAGAAGACCAAAAAGCTATAAAGTGTCGTTTGATTCTTGGGGGTTTGTCGGGGTCAGAGGAAGCTCAATGTACACAAAACTCCCTAATGTTCGTATCTGTTCATACGTTTAGATGTAACATTTCTTGTAAAATCTTGCCACATTTGTTAGTGCAGAGTGACAGTGACAGTAACCACATGATTGGCATTACCAAAGGTCGTTGTACTTGAAAAATGAAAGCGGACGATCTCACGCGAGCTACATCACAGTGCCTTCTTGCTTTTCCTCTCGAAAATGCTCCGAGAGACCCAATGACATCCGGTAGCGTCAATTTTGCCAATTGTATCAACAAGGCGTGCCGTCCCGGAGCGTCGAGACCCTTCCAGTGGACCAGCACTTGCTTTTTCGGCAACACGGGAGGTCACTTCAGCACACCGATCTTTCCACACCCTGATATTTTTCAATCGATTGGCTTGTCATCCTAGTGAACGTCCCGTGTATGCGCTCACCCAAGCCCTCGGTACCTAGGTAGTGTAGGTGAATGGAACGAAGGATCTGACGCCAGCAGTACGTTACGTACTAAACTGTCGGGTAAATCTCTACTCATCTCTACTCCTCGCCACTACTGGACCTATCCACGTTACTAATAGCTGAATACCAGATGATTACATTCTCCAAGCCATCATGTAGTTGTCGAGCAATAGCATATGTTCATTATAACCACATCGCAAGCATAAGCGAAGGCAATGCGGCTCGTGGCTCGAAGTTCCAATATCCCAGTCCGGACAACTATCCCAAAATGACAGCCACGCCCGTTAACAAACGCCATACCCGCCACCATATCGCGGGTTGCATTGGAAGACGGCTTCTTGGGGTCCAAGTTCGAGACCCTTGGAAAGGGTCGTAATGTGGAGGGGGAAACGGGATGACCTACATGCCACTCATAGATATAGCTAGTATGTCGATGGATTGCTGTCTACCTAGGTATAAAAGATCGCATATGGCGATAAGGCTTGACGGGTTCATCGACACGAGCTTATAGGGCTGGATGTAATGCATAGTAAACACGGGTTCGTGCGTCGCTTCGAGGTATGGCGTACTTATGGCGAGCTGATCGTATTATCGAGATGAGATATCGACGGCTCAATGCCGTCTTGTTCCTAAGTCATAGTAGTCGCTTGTCGAGATGCCTTTCCCTGAACACCACATAGAAGGGAAAAACTGAACACCGTGGAGCCTACATCAAGATGAAAATATGCAAAGTAGGTGGGCCTACGTCAATGTAGGCTCTAGGGTGTTCAGTTTTTCCCTTGCATGAGGTAGGTAGGAAGGCTATCACAATTGTGTGCGGACATCGATAACGCCCAACGGATGCCAATCATATTTTATCCTTTGCATGCTGGCATCGAGTGCTTGGAAACACGGCTGGTAAGGCTGCCGCTCTCAGGGTACGTTCCTTGGTTCATGCGGAGAACGACTACTCCGCCTGCCGAGTGATTCTGAGACATCAGCCGCAGGCCTGGCAGGCCGTGATACGAGTATCAGAGTACGCAGTTCAAGGGCGTCTTGTTATGTAACCTACCGAAGTGTAGACGTGTAGTCACAATATGTCCAGGGCCGAGACACATGTACTGATCTGACTACGGGCCGACTACTCTCAGAAGCTTCGAAGGATTGTGACGTTCTAGTTCGGACCAGCTCCCCAATCGCGATGGTTTACCGCCTCTACGCATACTGACCCACAAACGAGGCGTTCTTTGGGTTCTATTTGGGTCGCAAGTACTTGCTCGTGCAGGCTGCGGATGGTGTGAAGTGATTGTAGCGTCCCTTAGCGTTCTGCAGAACCATGGGATGAGTAGCTCGCGGTAGATCAGACGTGGCAAGCCAGGTCCTTGGGTTATACGAGACAGAGTAGTCTGAACCAGGCAGTTGGTGACTTCGGGCGACGACGGTCTCCTTGCAGGGTGGAAGGCTAATGATTAGTATGTTGGGATAGATACTTCTACGCGGGTTTCGTGAGCCTAGGCACATATAGAGTGGCGGAACCAAGACGACCGAACCGTTTGAACTTGCTCCAGCTCCTCCCTTCCCCACGAATCCAAACGGCACGACAGCGGCTCGGGTTCATCTTGCCTTTCAAGCGGTGGTTCGTGAGTACGGGCCAACATGTACCAAGAAGAAGTCTGCTGAAATGTCCGCCAATCAGAGTTTTGTGCGTCTCCAGTCCGAACGATGCCTAAGAAGGCGAAGGGGCTTCTGCAGGCACAGTGCAGGGCTAATGCGCGTTCTCCGTCTCGCTACCTCAGACGGACCACACTGTTTCTGAGGCATAGCGCCCTTCTCACAAGCCAGTTGAAAAAGCCAGAAGTCATTGCGCGATGAGGGTGCATCAAGAGCAGGTCACTGCGAGAGAATGCTATACTTGAGACATCCAGAGATGGTTTGGGAACGAGTTGGGATGGTCGGTTCGTGCGTCATACCTAGACAGGGTCAGGACACGTGCCGACCTGCCACCCGTGGACAGACCTCATCCAACGTTCGGACAACACAAACTCGTGTCCACAAGCAAGTCAGCGGCGCAGCATCACAATGACGAAGCCTGTCCTAATTGAGTCAGTATCGTGACCCGATCAAAACAACGAGAAGTTTTTACGCGTCGGCACGCGTTTGTTGGGGAACCCCACCAAGCGGCGCTAACGCGGGAAAGAGTGCTCGAAACCGCCGGACGTTGCAGAGCTGACTACGCCACCCAGTGCTCACCGGAGCCTGGTTGGTGCAGCTTACGATCGAGGCTCTCATCGCAGGTGTCAGACCGGAGATTTATGGGACAGTTCGTGCTTCCCGCGCGTTTTTTGCTTACTCCAACCGGCAGAGCAGGCACAAGCAAGCTGAATAGTTCACAGGTCCACAGCAGGAGACCTCGATCGATGGCCACTCTTCATGGTGACCAAGTGGATCGAGGAGCAGTTGGGCTTCCCGCCACCGGACGTCAGTGATGAACCGCTAGGGATTGTGAACGATGACCCGGGACCACTTGTAGCGAGCTATTGATTTCCTCAACGGTTCTCGGAGGGTCGTTGCCGATAGTCAATTGGACGCGCCAGACAGTTCTGTACGAGAAGGCTCGCGATAGCATCAGTGCTGGGCGTTCAGTCAGCAGCAATCTCGCAGATCCGTGGTGGCTGGAAAGCCAATCCTGCAGCCAGCCTGTCGAGTCTCGACTCCATCGCAACACCACCAGAACCGATGATTTGGGCCTCTCCACAAAAGGATCCTGTTGGAAGGGGTGATTTTTAATCCCAACCTCTGCGAGCTACTACGCCGCAAAGATCTTTGCTAGACGCCCGTGGATGCCGTCTTGGATGCTGTCGCGCTTCGGTGTGGGAAGCCCTTTGTCCATTGTCGCGAATCACGATGCACGAGCTGGGAAAAGACATGCGAGCTGACCGTGCTGCCTTCGGCTCCTTCGAGCCAGTGTCCTTGCGCATGCGAGCCCTGTTCCTGAACCCAACCGTAATCCATGTCTGCAGACCCGCCCTCTGCTACGAATCCTAGCCGTCCTCGCATGTCTTGGCCACTAAGCTTCTGGGGGTGAGGCCGCGCTAAACCAGGGGAGAAGTGTACCTGCAGGGGTGAAGATGGTCCGTTCCCCTTTGGATCGCCGCACCCACTTGACCTACCCCCAGGCCGCCCAACCAGGAGCCACATTCAAGACCAGGCCGTCTTCCTGCATCACTGCGGCTTCGCTCTCATGCCGTGACGGCTTTTCTTACTTCTGCCAAAACGTCCCGTCGTTCTTTTTGCATCTGCTCGGCCCTACGCGCCCTTAATCCGACCAAAACCTTATTCACTCTCCGCGTTCGAGCTAACGGCAACCAACTCACTCCACAATCGTTTCGTTTTCTCATCTGCGACATCCGTTCCGCCTGACACTGCCTATACTGTCACCAGTTTCATCTACACGGCATTGTCTTCCAAGAAGCCATCCTATACCAGCCCACGTCCGCGCTTGACTGAAGCTCAGAGACAGTCTTGCCGGTAGGGTCCACGTACTGCCTATAACCCTGTTACATCGCACTTCGGACAAGAGTGGGGATCACCGCTGGAAGGACTCTCATGCTGCATATTAACTGAACGCTTCGGTTCGTTTGGTGAGAAGAGTAAGAAAATTCGACATGGCCAACACCACACTGTTGCGGGGACAATGCCCGCCGCCTTTCTATGATGTGTCGAAATTTGGATTCGATGGCTGTAAGTGCTCTCATTTAGCTTTCATACAGTTGCTGACATTCATAGTTCTTGCTGGAAGGTTTTGTGCGCCAGTTACACCGGGCAGTGATATTATCTGCTGCTTGCCCTGTCCTCTGACAGACTTCCTGTACCCAGAAAGTAGGTACCTGGAAAGCCCACATTGAGATTCACGTTCCTAAACTTTTCTAGGTTTCAATACCGCTTATCGCGCAGCTGAAGCGCTCAATGTGGCTGGTCTCATCTGTCTGGTCATCCTGCTCATCACGTACTTGGTCTTGCCGGCCGAAAAGACTCGTCGACATTATCTCAGCTATTGTCTCATCATAGCCGCAATTCTCATGGCAGTAAGTCTGACTTCAGCCTACCCATCCTGCATCTGCTGATCGACTTTAGCTTGGCTTCGTGATACCCTTTGGTGCTCAACCAGAGCAGTGCTACGATGAGATCACCCCAAACGATATGTACTCAAGTCTGACGTGTGCTTTCTCCGGTGCTTTCCTTATCTCTGGAGGCATGTCGATGGCAGTTTGGATCTTCATTCGCGCTCTCTCGATGCATCTTCAGATCTGCTGGGACGTCACGCCAGGACAGAAATTCTTCTACTGGGCGCAAGGTCTGGGCTGGTCAGTTGCGGCCACTTTCTTCACCATCACTATCACGATCACTGGAGTCTCGTTCAGATTCGGTGACGTCTGCCACGTCAATGCCGAGCACTCAATGAAGGACTTTTGGGGTCCCTTGTTGGCCATTGCAGGTGCAGCTATGGTCATCCAGGTCGCAACGTAAGTCACTCAGGAGAGACAATGAGACGACATTACTAACATCGTTATCAGCTTCGTATACTGTATCAAGGTGTATCTTCAGAACATGTTCAGCGACGACAAGACCGAAACACAAAGCAGCGCTGGCCTCCCCTCTTACACGACCAGCATACGGAACCGATCTGCACGAGCTGTTTACCGGCGTGTTCGCAAAGTCCTATACCTGCAGTGGCGCGGCATAACGATCGTGGTCTTCATCCTCGTGGACGTCATCTTCTTCTCTATCGTTTTTATCTGGCTGAACTCCGTAACATCGCACGCCACTGAGGACCTCGACAAATTCCTTCCGTATGTCTTTTGTCTGGTAACACACGCCGAAGAAGGCCCAGAGCCATGTTACGCACTCGGCCAATCCCTCGCTGTCGACCAATCTACAGTGACAGCAATCTTGATGATGCTGTCCATTGCCGGTCTTCAAGTGTTCTTCCTGCTTAGCCGATGGAGCATGGTGGTCGGCTGGCGAGATTTGATCAGAAGCAAGTTCAGTAAGAACCGCGAATTCGTATCCTTGGACGCCAGGAATCCCCAGGAAGATGTACGCCATTTCGAAATGAAGAACTTCGAGCCGAAATCGACAGCAGATGCATACTATGGTACTCCTGGACTCGCTAGCTACGCTATGGGAAACGAGCGATCGGACACCCCGGATCATTTCCACAAAGAAACTCAGCGCGACTATAAGAGCCCGACACTCAGCTTTTCGACTCCAAGACCCCAATCACGGGCGGCTACCCATGTCGACTGGGATCCTAGATCATCCATGGCAAGAGGAGGACTCGGACTGCATCCTCCAGACTACGAATCTAAGATCTGAGCATGAATACAACAGTTTTTTTTCGCTACACACTCCATCACATCATATTAGTGCTGAACCTTGGATGCTCATGCTGTGGGTATGAAATCAACCGTCTGATTTACCCTTCACCACACGCGAGCCGAATCGAGATTCCCGGTTCAGCGAGTTGCAGTCGCGAGACTAGCATACTTGGCCATGCACCGGCATATGGCCATGGGTCGCGACAGAAAATACGCGGTCTTTGCGCGAGACCATGTCACGGATCAGCCTCAACGCAGCCATTCTCATGTCAATGAGGGACGCCATTCCCTTTTTGTCTCTGAACTACATGTCAGACCACTAGCTTGGCATCTCTGACTAGGTGTACTGCTGATAATAGAGTTCAAAGACCTCCTCACAGACTATCGCTGAATCATCGCCAAAGGCGAACGAGGGGTTGGGCATCATTACACCCGCCTCAGTACACGTCGCCTTGTATGAAAGAATACATGGGTGTGTATGCAGATGACAGTCTGTCACTGCAACAGCAACAGTCTTGTCGCCTGGCCAAGGCCGTGGTAGTTCCTTTCTCCGGGTCGTTTCTTACTGTATTCTTACACATTTGTTCGTTGCACGGAATGGAACTCGGTGCAACCCATCATTCCCTGTATCATCATTGCAGGCGATCTTCTCGCCCTTGTACGGAGTCGATCTTTCGCATATACCGGATTCAGCATCGCACGATGCCACAAGCTCGTCGGCTCCCACGCTTGCCTTCCACGCGAACTTAAGACCCGCTTCTCTTGGTAGTAGCTCTGCCATAGCTCACATATATAGCAAGTATAGCTATCCTATAATAAAATACATAAACTAAGAGCCGAACGCATCGAAAACCTTACTTCTCCTCGCGTACCTCCACCCGTCCGCTGCCGCATGGATCGGCTGAACGTCCAATGCCGTTGTGCGATCGCTTTTGAACGGGCCGGGACCTGGCTTGTACCGGTAATATGGGTAAATTCAAAGCATATGATATGTCGATCTTGGCAGGGTCAGGGAAGACGTCGCCGAGCAAAAAGAAACAGCCCAGAAAACGTGGTAATGGGAGGCACATCCTTTCCTCCCTGATAATGGATCCCTTGCTCGGGTCCATCAGCGACGTCGTGTTGAAGACAGACTTTGACTAGTCTTTCGTGTAGTGACATGCGCACGCGAGATTTTGCGAACTTTACTCGATAACAGCGAATGAGCGTTATGCCGTGCTTACGCCCCATTCTTCACCATGCCATTGGGTCGCTATACCATTTTCAGAGGGATTCCTGACACCTCCGTACTCCGCACCTCTCTCCGCCCAGCAGCAGCGACCAGAACCCATCAATGCGATGCAGTCTTTCGACTCCACCTTTCGAAAAGAATTGTTTCCACTTCCGCGGCTGCAGGAGCAAGGGAATCAGGTCACATTCACATTGCATGGTGGGAATGGATCTGCACTACTCCTTCCCTTTGCACATCCTCCTCAACAAAAGGCCCCATTTTCCAGAACATCGTTCCCCGGGAAGACACGCGACTGACATGACGGAGGAACGTTATGGAAAGAGAAGGTCCCCCTTCCACGTGTGGGTACACGGGCGCATCGCCTGAAGCTTACTCTTTCTATAGTCTATTAAGATTACGTGCAAAGCTGCTTATTAGATAAGAATATATTTTGCTAAACCTTATCTCTAGCTATCTAGCTTTAAACTTATACTTAAAAAAACTTAATTACTAGCCTTATCTTATAAACTTTAAATATACTACTATAGCTAAGCTACTACTATTACTACTACTACTATATCTTTTTTTACTAAGCTTCTACTCTTTATTATAAAGCTCTTACTTTAAAAGAACTATAGTTTTTATATTATAAGCTTAGTTTAATATCTTTATTATATAGCTTTAGCTAATAAGATAGAGATAAATTTATACTTTTTACTAAAGCTATATAACTTTTATAAGCACTACTTCTTTAGTTTATAAGTTTAAAAATATACAGCGTCTAATTATTTACACGTATACCTATAACTAAATTTAAAAGGCTATTAACTACTATAATAGTAGAAGTAAAGTAAAGTAGATAAGAATTAGTAAATTAGAGCTAAGAGATTAGTATTACTTAATTATAGGCAACTTAGTCTACTAGCTTGTTTAAGTAGTAGCGCTCTTATTCTAGAATCTAGAAATCTAGAAATTTAAGCTGAAGGCTCTGCAACTCTTTGCCACAAGTCTTGACAGCGGCCCCTTGTTTTTATCGGTATAGCGAGACGCCTCTTTAGGAGCAGGCATGAACGCGTGCTCGGCTCGAGCTGCAGGAACAGGTATCTGGGCCGCAGAGCGGTTGGCCTGACGCGACATGGGTGTTGCATGGCCCGCGCGTCTCGAGGCAGGATTTATCCAACGGCTCGGCTCAGCAGGCCGTAAGAGCAACCGAGATTGAGGGCTGATGTGCCCTGGGGAGAAATGCTGGACGCGATAGCGAAGTCAGTATCTGCGGGATGTATTGACTTGTCAGACATCATAATTTCGGCACTTATAGCCTTACGTGGTGCGTCGTGGACGGTCCGATAGAAGAGTTGTCGACGAAGGCATGGGTTGTGGGAGCGGCTTCGAAGTCGGACGTTGAGGCCCCACACGAGGCATGAAAGTCGACTCAGTTTCAGCTTGCGTGCGATAGATGTACGCAGGGCTCCTGACAGACTCTGCGACCATGCTCCGTTTTCCATGTGCGCCTGAATAAGAGAAGTGGACCGGTCCGCGGCGGAAAGATTTGTTATTATCCGCGTCGCCTACAGCATCAGGCTCTCCCTTCGTACAGTTCGGCGTGATCGTCGTGCAGCTCCACGTTCATGTATAGAAGGCTCTTTCCAGTCGCCCTCGAGCCTGCTACACACAATTAACGCCGATAGCACCCACATCAAGTATGCTTTCTGATCATCGCAGGCTTGGAACAATACATGTCTCGACATGACCATGCTACTATGAGCACTGAAATATGTCGTGTATGCCTTGACAGCTGACCTGCACTAACTCAACAAAACCGACCTGCGATGTTGCACACTTGTACTGCGATGTTCGCTCTTAAATCCAGGAAGCCCTTGCGCAGGTCAGCGATGAATATCCGATAGTGCATAGATTCCTAAGAAGAGCGGATGTCAGTCGGTGCAATTAGCGTGGTGGTGTGACAGCTTCCACTGCTGGCTGGCGACTCCACTACCTACATCCTGAATCCCAGACCGAGATTACCTAGTATTGCATAGCAGAGTGTAGCTAAACCTCTTAGAATCAGCTTAAATTTAACGTCGCACAAGATGAGTCTTCAACACAGGCGCTGATGTCACAAACACAGTGTTCACATAAGCCATGTCTCCCATAACACCCGGCACAGATCTTTGAGCCTACCTAACTCTTACTCCTACTTCCCCAGAAAGCATTATTGGCAAAGTTAAGTAACGGAGTCGCAACAAATGGCACAAAAACGTGAGCGTGTTCTAGACTTGAAGGATCTAAACAACGTCATGACTTCAAGGGTCAGGGCGAAGGGTAAGGAAGGCGATACCCCACCATGTAGCGTACCTAGGTATACGTACCGACTCCATCCCCACTTCCATCGTCATTACCAAGCAACGAGGTACGACTTCCGACTTCCGCCATCGCCAACACGATCAATTCGCATATCGCACCGTACAGCTCTTCCTTAGACCCAAAGTTCAAACCCGGTACTCGTCTGCAAGCTAGCATGGTCGCGATGGGAGGTGGTCCAGATTTACCGTCTCGAAATGCATCGAAAGAGAAGGAGCTTGTGCTGTGCGCATTGCACTGGCCTCAAGAGCTATGCGAGCGTGGTTTGAAAACTCTCAGAGAAGCTTTTGACGATGTGGAAGTGAAGTACTTCCAAGTCAAGTGGGAGGGTGGCAAGTCGGAGATGGACGCACCTGAAGGTTAGTTGGCAGTAGACACACACACATTTGCAGAGTATTGGTTGTCCTGAAGAAGAGATCGAGACCGAGATGATGGGTCCGCGCGTTACCAGCTGCCCAACAAGCACAACCATCTGCAGCTGCAGAGCTTCCATGCTTCCCGCGATTACACCTGTTACACAACGTGGCTAATATCATCCCAGACGACATCAAGCGCGCAACCTATATTGCGACGCTATCCTGGCTCCCGGAATCCGCATCCTCCATTCCAAACACCAAGCTCATCCAATTCTTCTCTGCAGGCACAAACCACGTTTCCAGCCACCCTATCTACACTGACTCTAAGATCCCGCTGTGCTCTGCTAATGGCGTTCATGGCCCGCAGATTGCCGAATGGGTCATCATGATGAACTTGGTGCACAGTCATAGCTACACTAAGCTTTATGACAACCAAAAGAACAGGGTTTGGGACCAGAAGGTGGGGCTTAGTGTCAGTGATCGGGTGGGGAAGAGAGTGGGTGTATTGGGGTACGGTAGCATTGGTCGACAAGGTATGTTTGATGAACTTCGAAAAGACGGAGAGACACAACTTCTGCTAGCATACCTGCCGCATATGGAAGCTATGCTAATCCACGGCAGTCGCTCACGTAGCAAAGGCAATGGGCATGGACGTAATAGCCTACACAGCCTCACCACGCAAAACCCCAGAGTCCAAGCACGACAACGGGTACATCGTCCCTGGAACTGGCGATCCTGATGGCAGTATTCCCAGCGCGTGGTACAGCGGAACTAGCAAAGAAGATGTGCACGAGTTCTTGAAGCAGGAAATCGACCTGTTAGTCGTTGCTGTGCCGCTAACGTGAGTAACCTGCCCGCGTCACGTAAAGAGAGACGATGGGATCATTTTCCACTAACACATGAACTAGGAAAGCGACAACGCATCTCCTCTCCACCGAGGAATTTGAGCTCCTGCATAAGTCCAATCCAAAGGGCACCTACATCGCGAACATCGCGCGGGGGCAAATCATCGACCAGAAGGCTCTCATCACTGCTCTGGAGAAGGAACATATTAGTGGTGCGGCCCTTGACGTTACTGACCCTGAACCTCTGCCTAAGGATGATCCGCTGTGGGATGCACCAAATGTGCTGATCACACCGCACTGCAGTGGAGCGTCAGATGCATACGCCGACCGCGCGTTCCAGTTGCTGGTTGAAAACATAAAGAGGGACCGAAGTAACGGCAAACTGATCAACGAGGTGAACCGCGAGAGAGGCTATTGAGCCAGCACAACACCCCAGACCATAGCTCCGTAGAACATTCAACTCGATTTGATAAATCGATATAGGGTATCATAGACGCCCTGGGTAGACTCCAAGTAATAGACCATATGCCTAGTCGTACAAGACTCTCCTGCTTTCGTCTCAACAGCAAGAGGAGAGAAACGAGAAATTCGCGCAAACACCAAAACGTCCGTGTATCACCGCCTGAACAGCCCAGAGATCATGCCGCCAGCCAGGTTCCTCGCGAGACCCGAACCGTACATTGCGTTTGAGGCGAAGCCCGTCGCTTGGCTGAACTTGTCGCATCGGGAGAAGGCGAGGGTATTCGTGATGGTAAGGACGAGCGCGATAACTGTGACATACATGTTAGCACATTTCTCCTTCTCATATCCCTATCAAGAGAAAATGCCTCCACATACCAACAAGCGTCAACCAAATAAACTCCAAGCTGACGAGCGCCACAATCGCCAGCAGCACCCACAACACAGGCTGCGCATACAGCGCGAGCCAAAAGAAGCGCTTATCCGTCGCATTGATCTGGCGCCCCGTTTCCGGATCCAGACTCTCAAACACCCAGCGCCCGTCTCCCGTGTTGGCGTCGACTTCATTCCACCAGCGGAGGCCGACGAGGCGGCGGCCGGCAATGTTCTTGAGGTAGTAGAAGTCCATTGCGAGGAGCAGGATGGTGATGATGAAGATCATGACGAAGTTTGCGGTGAGGAGGCGGAGGCCGAGGAGGTAGACTAGTAGGGAGGCTGGGGGAGGGTCAGCTGTGAAGGTGATATACTGGGCATGTATGCATGTGGTGTCTGTAGCTTGGAGGTTGGGATAACATACAGATGCGAAAGGCGAGGAAGGTAAGCAGCGTGATGGGATGACTGCTTAGTCTCCAGCTCAGCGAACCAGGCGCCGGCTCTTGTTGTGCGTTCTCCATGGTTTCTGGTGCCGTCGGGGTGTGCGTGGTGCTGGGGGAAACAGTCCGAGACGTGTGAAGATCAGCTTCACGTGGCTTTCTCAGGGACGCGTCGGCGATCGGCGTTTGGGGGGAGCTTTGGTGGAGCTGCGACTTCCCCGCACGTCATAGGCTAGCGAGAGTGCCCGAGGTGTGTAACGGCTATATGACTTTCTGCCATTGAGGCTTCTTTACTTTTGTGGTTGAGACAGGTATCTCGGAGGAAGTAATTCAGTCAATTCTAAATCAGGATGGCGGCGCCAATTATACGGAGGGCGTGCATGTACGGTATACCATCACCACTCCATTCACATTGACATACCATACAAGCAGTTCCACCAGTACCATACTAATACTCCTCACAGTGCCCTCCTCCTCCAAGCGCATGCTCGAAAAGTCCTTCGCCATGACCGCCGACAACGTAACCTACGACCTCGAAGACAGCGTCGCCCCGCACATGAAGCCCGAAGCGCGCTCCAACCTCCGTTCCATCCTCAACAAGCCCCGACCCGCCGGCATAAAAGAGATGTGCGTAAGGATAAACAGCGTAGACACAGGCCTCGCGCTGGATGACCTGACCGAAGTGCTCAAAGGCGAGCACCTCGATGCCATCATGCTGCCCAAGTGCGAAAGCGCTGCAGACCTGCATTTCGTCACGGACGTGATACGGCATCTCTCGCCCGACCGCCATCCTAGTGCAGGGACACAAGGGAAGAGGGAGCCAGTACGCATAATAGCGCTGATAGAGAGCGCAAGGGCGATCCAGAATCTGAGTGAGATTTGCGCTGCTTCGCCGTATATTTCGGGGCTTGTCTTTGCGGCAGAGGACTTTGCAAAGGATATGAGTCTCACACGTACACCTTCGCTTATGGAGTTCCTGTATGCAAGGAGTGCGATTGCGACGGCGGCGAGGGCTGCCAGACTTCCTAGTACTATTGACTTGGTATGTACGAGCTACAAGGGCGAGCAGGGGCTCAAGACACTGGAGGAAGAGTGTTTGAATGGCAAAGGGCTCGGGTTCAACGGCAAGCAATGCATACACCCAAGTCAAGTCGCCGTGTGTCATAAAGCGTTCAGCCCCGGGGAGAAGGAGCTCGAGTGGGCGACAAGGGTAGTCATAGCGGATGAGAAGGCAAGCAAAGCTGGACGAGGGGCCTGGACATTGGATGGCAAGATGATTGATGCGCCAGTCGTGAAGAAGGCGCATGCGATACTGAGACATGCTGAGGTATGTGAGATGGATGTAAGTGCTGTCAAGGAGACATGGAAGGGACAGGAGCCTGAGTAGCTGCCAATGCATGTTGGCATCTTCATATTGTTCTCCTACAGGATGACCGTGATAGGATCGTATGGCTTTGATCTATACCGTAATCATGACACTGGCGTTCTTGTACCAGCTCAGCAAGGGGTTATCACCATTCTTCGTCGTTGTCTCCGCAATATCTGCTCTGCCGGCCATGAAATCTTCGTGTAGGTATGTTCGTGCAAAGCGTCCGGTTATCGACGTGTACATTGGTTCCATGACTTCGAAGTCAGTGGGGAAGAGAATGTCAAAGTAGCCTTGGTGCACCTGGAGTGTATTAGTAGTTGTCTTACAACACAACAGACCAAACTTACAAGAGGTGTCGAAACAGGAATCATCTGCCTCTTATACCTCGTTTGCACAACAGGCGCATTGATACCTTCGACCGCATCGCCCAGCTTGTGGAAGTCGCTGCTAATCAACTTGTGGTTTGGAAACTTCTCATACAGCATGTAGAAGAACTGCATCAGCCGCGTTGGGATGTACTCCGGCATGCTCATATTAGAGCGGAACGGTACCAAGCTCTTCAGGTTGTTCATGAGTCGCGAGCCTTGCAGCGGGTGCGGGTATGTGGTACAGGCAGCGTGTCTGCGCTCGAGGAATTGAGTAACGAGGGGGTCTATGGTGCGCGAGTAGTATTCGAAGAGCTCTCCACGAGGATCTATGACGACGTGGGATTGATATGGGAGGCCCGTTTCGAAGTCGTACTTTAGGGCATCGTGTGCGAAGTTGTCGAAGACTTCCAATGCGAGGAAGTAGCAGGGGGAAGAGACGTAGATGTTCCAGTCAAAAACACTGCGATTTATGATTTCCACCTTGTCGGAGTGACCTCGTGCATACGCTGAGTGCCCCAGACCCTTCTGTTGTAGGTCGGCCAGTTGACTGGAGATCTCGATGATCTTGAACTTGGTGCGCTCGTACACGTCTGGGTGCACGTCTCTTATGAAGTCGAGGATGTTCAACATCATTGTACCGTTACCCGCGCCCATTTCGTATATGTTCAAATCATGGTATGGGTAGAAATTGTACTTGTAGTCCTCTACGAGGTAGCGTGCGATTGCTTCTCCGTAGTAGGGCGAGAAGAGTTCGGTCGGCGTATGCCAGAGCTGGCGTAGGTCGTTCGGTTCTTGGTAATCGAGATCGTCTTCGAAGGCGGTATAGCGGTGCCGCAGCTGCTGGAAGAATTCGTGCTCGGAGCCCATGGAGTTGAAGTCGAATGGATCGCCCGGAGAGAAGATGACTACTTGCTTGGAGAAGTAGCCGTAATTGGGGTTGTATAAGCTGTCTATACATCTATTAGTATAGTAATACACCACATGTAAGAGTCCCAACCTTCTATGAAGTCGCGCAACAACATCTTGACTCTGCGCGGTCTTTCTCTCCTACTCCGCAGCATGTCCGCTGTGACCATTGGGTATCTCTCAAACTCTTCCGTCCTCTCATGAGGGAATGCATTCTTTCTCGGTGTCCATCTGCTCTCGCGCTTCGTTTCACCCTCACCCAACCGTGTGGCCTTGCCTCGTCTTTGGTGGTGTGGTATGCGGGCGCCTGCGAGCGCTGGCCGGGCTCCGCGGGCAAGACATTGCGACGCTCGATGCGAGAACAGCTGGCGGAAGAGCTGCGTGGCGAGCGGCGAGTCCATTGGCGCCAGAGACAATTGTCGCGAATGCGTCGCGACAGCAGTGGTGGCAGTGGTCTTCCGCGCGAATGCACGTGGTGAGCTTTGCGGGCAGCCGCGCCAAGACGGGGATACCACCAGCTCCGATCGCGTCAACTCTGCAAACTGCACGCCACAACTCCCCAACTTTTGAAAAATGGTGGATCGCTCCAAATATTACCTCTTAGGCGCTTTGCTGCTAGGGATTGCTCTGACGACTGCATACAACAAAAAGAGATCGATAGAAGGAATAGACAATGCAGACCAACTTCTGGCACAGCAGCAAAAATGGCTATCGCAACTCGCAAAGATTAATGACTTAGAAACGTTGAAGAAGAGTTTACTGGAGTTCGGTGGTGGACACGGCGCAGTCAACATCAAGGAAGGCATCGAAGGATGCATCGGCGACACGCCCCTCATCAGAATCAAGTCACTTTCCGAATTCACGGGATGTGACATACTTGCAAAAGCTGAGGTAGAAAACTTACGTGAATTTGGCTCGAACGTTCGCTAACGTGAGCCACAGTTTCTCAACGGAGCCGGCAACAGTCCAAAAGACAGAGTCGCTCTAAGCATCATCGAGATGGTAAGAGAAGACTCTACTCCGCCTCCCGTCTATATCATTTATGTTTGCTGATTCTCATAACAGGCTGAAGAGAAGGGTCTTTTGATCCCACACTCTGGTGACACCATATACGAAGGCACGGTTGGGAGCACTGGCATATCATTAGCCGCTATTTGCAGAGCAAGAGGCTACAAAGCACACATGTAAGTCGTCATCTGACTCAGAGGTGTGTTGGCTGACAAGCGAAGCTGCATGCCAAACGACATGGCAATCGAGAAGTCAGATCTCCTGCTGAAGCTTGGTGCTGAAGTAGAAAGAGTGCGCCCGGCGCCTATCGTGGACCAGAAACAATTCGTCAACCTCGCACGATCGCGAGCAGAGGAGCACACTGCAAGTTCCGAAAAGCCTGGGAGAGGACTGTTCGCCGATCAATTCGAAACGGAAGCCAACTGGCGCGCACACTTCACTGGCACGGGACCTGAGATCTACGAGCAAACTGGGCGTTGTGTGGATGCTTTCGTTAGTGGCGCTGGCACCGGAGGAACTATCTCTGGAGTAGCGTTATTCCTGAAGTCCAAATTACCCGACATCAGGGTCGTCCTTGCGGATCCCCCTGGCAGCGGCTTGTTCAACCGCGTCAAGTACGGTGTTATGTTCGACCCCAAGGAAAGAGAAGGAACGCGGCGGCGACACCAAGTGGACACAATCGTTGAAGGGATCGGCATCAACAGAGTGACTCACAACTTCGACGTTGGTAGGGAGCTGATCGACGATGCCATCAGGGTTAACGACGACCAAGCAATTTCCATGGCGCGCTGGTTGGTTGAGCACGATGGCATCTTTGTTGGAAGCTCTAGTGCTGTGAACTGTAAGTTGTGAAGCGTTCAACAGCAGGCGGCACTGACTTATTGAAGGCGTCGCTGCCACGAAACTTGCAAAGACACTTGGTCCAGGACACCGCATCGTCACCATATTATGCGACAGGTAAGACGATGTCTCAAAATTCCAAGTACGTGCTAACACCTTCACAGTGGTTCAAGGCACTTGAGCAAGTTCTGGAAAAATACCGAGCCAGTTGGTGGCGCCGAGAACGATATGTCTCTCCAAGCCATTCTCGACGCTTGAGGCCTCCTTCTTTAAAGCTCTCTGCCTTCAGATACCTGACGCATCCAAGGCCTTCATTCCCATTATCTAACCCCACCACAGTTTTCGAAAACGAAGAGGTTGACAATTCACCGCTGGCTGTGTCTGAAACGGAGCTGTACAGCGGCGTTCAGATCATGAAAGATTTGCCAACGCATCACAATGTCAGCCAACACGCCACCGCATCCTCAACAAGGGTGATCAGCCCCCCGCCTTCATCAAGCACTACCATCACTGCCATGAATGCGCAACATTGTGCAGCAGCAACCTTCCATCATCCACACGGGAACAATGGACACGTGACAGAAGAAAGACAAAGATTATACTCTTCACGAGATACTGGGAGTCAGAAGAGCAAGTCTTGAGCGGCGGTGTCTTAACAAAGAGCAAAGCTCCAACAAAACCCATTCTTCTGACAGCCGCCACGCCCGTTTGTGTCGCCTTTATATACTACGGCGACCCCTCAACCCTGCATGCTACACACTCCCGGCTGGTTCATACCAAATATCGTCGCACACGTCCTCCCGCAGCAAACTTTCTCCTTTCAGCAAGCCCTTGCCCGACCAGAATCTCTTTACCAAACGAACATATGCCTAACCGACGCATGAGCAATACAAACGGAATCAACAAAGCAATAAGTCCTACATCGAGCATTGTGCAAAGACGAATAGCAAGAAAGATGTCACCATGGAACCGCAACCAAGCCCTCGCAAATAAAATCGCCGAAATGCGCCTCACCATCGCCCCCATAGTGCACGTGGAGACAGGGATACCTGCACCCGAGTTCCCCTCTACAATGCTCGATCTTTTCCTCCTCACCGAAGCGCAACTCGACGCGCTAGCTGCCTACTATTCCCAAACACATTCAACAGACCTCACAAACCAATATCCCCAGACAATGAACTGGCAACAACCCTTCTTAGACGCCAGCGATACCTTGCCCGAGAACTGTAAACTAGGTGAGCTGGAACGGTTAAAGATTAAGATGAGGATGTTTGCGAGGTTCATTGGTATGAGGGGTGCGGATACGCCGCGGTGGGAGTATGATCGTCAGATTGAGATTTTGAGGAATAAGATCCAGAGGAGGATTACGGATGAGGAGGAGAAGGTGCTGAGGAAATTTTATCAAGGTCCTGTTAGTAGGCCATGAGGGCTTCGAAGGGTGTCGGGCGTGCCGGTCATGCGTGAGGATGAAGGGAGGTTGCAGCTTTGTTAGAGCGTTGCCATGACGAGCTTCGTATATGGCAGCAATGTATCTTCTTGATTTTACCTTCCCGTACCCCAAAATAAGTGGTCATATTGCAGCAATGGGTGGACAGGGTATTGGATGTGTGTGACTCTGGTAGTACCGAATTTCAACCATGGGTTCGCAAACCGCAAAACCATTCCATATCCCTCACACAATAGCATAAAATACTTCCAACACCAAACTTAAGACTCCTCAGCTCATAGATTCAACATACCATCCACGCCACCATGAAGCTTCACATCACCATCCTCCGCCTAGCCCTGTGCGCCGCCGCCACCGCCTCCGTCCACCTATCCGAATCCCAGCTGCGTCAAAACCCCGACACAATCCCTCTCGCAGATCTCGAACCCACAACACCCCTCAAACAGGTACGTCAAGAACACTAAATCCCCCCCTGCATGAAAAAATCGCCTAACAAAACCTAGTGCTACAACTACTGCATAGACACGCTCAAATACAAAGCTCGCCGAGGCGGCGAGGGAGATTGGAATTACATCCGCTGCTTGAAGGCTTGCAAGGAGAATCCGAACGTGAGTGGGACCAGGATAAACGTCTGAGCATTCTGTGGGTGTGGTTAGGGACTTGCGTGTGCTGACGATGGGGTAGTATGCTGAGCAGCCTACTGAGACGTGGCGGGCGATGTTTGTGTTGCAGGCGAAGGACTGTGAGCGCGTGGCGGATGAGTTTATGAGGGAGCATCCGCGTGATGTCATGGATCTTCCGGAGCATCTGAAGCGTCTGGGGTGTTGAGAGGGGGGTGGTTTGCGTTGTTATCAAATGTTTTGGTGTACTGAGGTGCATGCATGTTGTAGCTTTCTAACGAGGCGTTCAGCGGCTCTGGCATTCGAAAACATTGACCCACCAAAGTACAAGTTCGATGACGAGCGTACACCAAACCACATGGGTATCTAAGCCCAGAACACTCACTCTTCTCCATACGGTTTTCTTCTTTTGCACATGGCTATCGTCTGATCGCTGAATGGAGACGCGCGTCTTCAGGATGTTGAGCGTTTTGACGATGGCTCATTGGATAGGGCATGGAGTTCAATGGATCAAGCCATCACTCAAGGGTTCAGGGACTACACCCCCTCTACGCTCTCCGCACTGAAGCGATCTCACACAGGCCCTTCAAAAGGGTTCAAATCTATTTAAATAAGCAGTCAGCCGCGAACCTTCACAAATCATCTCCTTTAACATGAAGCCCCTCACCAATATCCTCGGTGCTGTCCTGTGCACTGCTGTTGCAGTCACTGCACAGGCACCCGACCCACAGCAAACTTCCGACATTGAGATTACGAAAGCCCAGCCCAGTGGCCCCGTATCCCAAAGCAAAGCCGATACCGATGTATGATTTGAGAGTAGATCTCAGCAGTATATGAAGTCTGACGACACGTAGTGTGCGAAGAAATGCGTTAGCACTCTCTCCCACGAAACCGAGGCCGAGTGGAATATCGCGATGTTTTGCTTGGAAAGATGCGAACTCGACAAAGAAGCAGCGGTATACCTCGGATATGATGATATGCTCAGGGCTCTTGCTACGCCGTTGAGTGCAGTAAGTTCCAAATCTTACTCTTACCAGAACACATTTCTGGAAACCTTACTTACTCAACGCAGACACCCAACTCCTATCGCACAGACGCTCGCGGAAAAGACGGTCAGCGAGTCACATCCGTAAGTTTGCAGCAAGGATTTAATTCATCCCGGTGCTGGAAGAGACGTACTGACCGGAGGGCAGCGGCGAGACATCCTTGATGCGGACAGTCTTTTGGCGTTTGCGGAAAAGCTCGAGAAGACGGCCTGGTTCGATGAGTCAGACTCAAACAACCAATACAGACACGTATTGGAGGATATCGAGAACCTGAAGAGGCAGTTCACTCTTAGTACGACAGATGAGATGGAAGGACTGGAAAAAAAGGAAAACTCCGAAGAAGATGTCAAGCGAACTGCCGCGCTGAGAGATGGACCGTTTGAGTCAATGCCAGCAAACGAAGGCACCGACGCTCCATCGTGCGGAGATCTCCTTGATAGGGACAGTGATTCGCCGTCTGCGGACGAGGACGAGGAGGAGGATGCGGAATATGCGGAATTTCTGAGCAGCAATTGGGAACATGCCAAGTCGATCAGTGCCTTGTGGGATACTAGGAGGTACGTGGTGGAAGTCCCGGCAGAGACGGGTGTCTCATCAGAGGGTACCAAGCGATATTGGGTGCATACGTATGACGGTCGGAGATATGGGCCGTACGACATCAAAGATGAAGCAAAGTCTGGACTTCAGGCGCCGGTCCGTCGCCAGCTCTACGCGTAAAATGCCAAAGAGCCTTCTTGTGGTTCATCTCGCGTTGATGGAGGGGTGAAGTAGGGTAGAGCGGGTTCTCCATATCAATTGTAGTACCTCGGGGGTGGTGATACTGTCCAGAGCAACGATAGCTGAACCTATATCAACTCCTGGATTGTGCAATGCACCACCATGCATGTGAATCCGTGTACGTCAACAGCACAGCTGATGATAAAGAGCCGCAGCCGAATCGACCACCTCACGCTAGCCCTCCGGTAGAACTATACCTCTTCCGTCCAAGTACCAAACCGCCAACGGCCCGGGAGATCGACAGAGCATCGGCAAAGCTTCGCTCGCGTTCGCCCATCTCTCACCAGCACGTCGCCAATACTGCTGCTTCCCGACTCACGATGCGCCCAAGCCCCCGGGTTCTCTCACGCCATCACCGACCATCGTGAAAATGCCACCACGCGCGCGTCCCCGTCACCGACCCTTGACCATCGCGACCATCTGCGGTACCGCGTCGCTCATCCTACCCACCGTCACGCTCATCCGTCTCTACACTATCGCGGCGTTACCCGTATACTCGCTCATCTACGCCGGCTTCATCAGCGGAGTGACGTTCCTCTTCTATGGCTACGATAAGATGCAGGCGCGGAACTTGGAGTGGAGGGTCAAAGAAGTGACGTTGCACACACTGGCGGTGGTTGGAGGGTGGCCGGGGGCATTGGCGGGCATGCACTATTTCCAGCATAAGACGAGGAAGGTGAGGTTTCAGGCTGTGTTCTGGGGGATCGTTCTGGGCTGGGAGGGTGTCGCGTGGCTGGTGTGGAGTGGCGGGGTACAAGTTGGATGATGAGGGGCTTGGAACAGGTCTACCAAGACGACGGGGAAAAATTTCATTAGGGATATGGGAGGCCGTTATGAGAGTCATGACGGTCGTGAGAGTACGGCGCAAACCTGCCGGGACGGTATACAAGGAAAAGGCCACCGTGAGAGGCGCAACGAAGGAACCACTAAACGCCTACCGAGGGTATGCCCAACATTCGCCTTCTGCTGTCGTGTCGCTACTCCAATTTCTTCCGGGCGTCTCGCTGAATCGTCTCCTTGGATGCGATAACCCATCCCCGAAGGCATTCGAGCAATGCCCTCAGACACGCCTTCACCACCTCCTAGTGGAACCGGTCCGAGATCTTCTTCGATACGTCCTTGGTCTGATCCCAGACTTGGGTCGCCGCTCGGACTGTACAAAAGAAGAAGCATTAGCGACCGGTGAGCGGAGATGTGAGTCTATCAGCGCTTTCACCAGCTTGCTCTCCAATGGGGTTCTGCATGGCGCCACCCGCGAGGTTGCTGATGCCCTGCTTGAGGTTCTTGACGTCTTCTTGGTCGGAGGTGGGGATCTTGTTGATCTGGTCTGGGAGGTGTTAGTGTTTGCGGCATGGTGTTTGTGAGTAT